AAAGATTTGAGAAAGATAACTCGAAATTTCAAGTTATGGATACTTATTTTTCTTCCTTTTTTAGTGGTGGAAATGGGCTTCCATAAAAAATTGCAGAGCGGTTTATTCAGTTTGCTGGTATCAGCTCCAATGCTGCTCCTGCAGCAGACTACACCAAAGTACACTGCACTCACAATACCTAAATGGCAGATTTCATCTGATTGCCGGATCTCTGTTTTGATTTGTTCTTCTTTTTTTTGTATTATCATTAGGCATAGCAGAAAATATTAACACACACACACACACACACACACACACAGACAATATAAAACTGTATATTGTGGGGGAAAAAACTCTAGATGAATGTAACTTTGGAGAAGATTGTAAATGTGTTAAGGATACAGGCTGGTTAATTAGCAAGTCAACTAATGGTTAGGCTCTGCTAGAACTTTGCCTGAGCATTCTCACGCCGGTACAGTAGACGGCAACATGCACCTTTGACTTCGGTTTGGACCGCGCCGCCTGAGGAAGAAGAAAAAAAGGCGCCGAAGAAGGCCACTTTCGCGTTTCAGACCACACTCCATACCAGTTGGTGGCGGTAATGCACCATTCAGTTGTTTGTCAACTGGCAATAAAAATTTAAAAGGAGGAAGAAGAAGAAGGCCATTTTCCCCTGAAACAGTGCCGTGAGAGCGACGTACCCGAGCTTTATTGTTCTCATTATCTCCACTACTCTCGATATTTTAACGAGAGTCTTTGGTTGCCTTTTGTGTAAGTTCTGACGTTGGTTATGTGACAGTATGGTGGTAATATTAAAAAACGAAAACGTCGTCATTGCTGCTGGCCGGGTTCGGGCGATAAACGAGCTAACGCTAAAGCTACAGGCCTAGCTGGGTACAAAGACGAGTGCAGCTCAGCTCGACATTTTGTTCTTGGTTTCAGCGGCAGAAGCGTTTGAAGTGCCAGAAACAACCTGGGGAACAATCCACGTTAGCTAATCTCAGCTGGCATACAAGGTTACGATGTGTGCAGGTTGCGTGTATTTTACGTGTATATTTTGTCAACGATGCGGCTAACGGGGGCATGTCCGATTCAGTATTGGCGACGTGGATGTTATCTACTTGGAGCACTGAGCTTTTGATTAGTTGCACGTTGGAGACACATTTAAGTCATTTAGCAAGTTATTGTACATGTTGGGGGTTTCTCTCTACGTGGATGGCCAACCTGGAACAGTTAAGGCTCTGTCGTTGGTCGTGCCCCCCTCCCGTGATGCATGGGTGGTGATTTCTGGTTGACAGCAACTGTCAGTTTGCAAAGATTCTGAGATCTCCCTGCCGTGCATGAAGGCGACTCATCAAGATACCATGTTAGTTCGTTTTCTCATTGATATTGGTGGTAAAAGGTCCTGTAATTTTCACTTTGGGTTAATGATCTTGAACTGAGCAGTGACTTCAGCGTACTGCTGCATAAGGACCATATGAGCGACTGGCTACTTATTTCCTTTACCTGATACAGCCATTGCTGCTATAAACTGCACGTTTTGGAATCATTGGGAGAAGCTGGATCAAGGCGGCAATGTAGTGAAGAAACCTTGAAGAAGAACAACATCCTGATTTATTTGAGGTTTTTTTCTTTCCTGCTTTGCTTCATCAGAAACAACAGTCTAGCTCGACCTGTCCGACCAGCTTGAAAGCAGGAAATCTGAACTGGTAACACAAAAAAGGAGTGAACAAAGGAGTGTGAATTTTCACCATCTAATTAGGTTTGCTTATAAGAAGATCCAAATTCATTTAATTATGAATTGAGGTGGACTTTGTGGTGGCTGAAGCATAAAACGTTTTTTTTAACTAGCTTTTTACGAGCAGTCAACTATTAACTTCTGAAACATTGGAGTGTTTTGCACAGCTTTGAAGCTAAAATGTACATAATTGATACATTTGGGTATTGTAAGTAACGTCAAGTAAGGACTTCTTTGCCCAAAACAAATGAAAATGCTGCTTTGAGCTATGACCACACTGGTATACTCCTAGCTCTAAAGCAATACTGAAGGGTTTCACGTGTTGTAAATGTGCAGCTTAATGTGCTTGTGAAGTCTGAGACTGATTTGGAGCAGCGTTTGATCATGTCTGGAACAGATGGAGCAAAGGTTAACGGTTGGGGATGTTATCTGCTGTTAAGCGTGATCTTGTCATTTTTTTCTGTAAGATGACAGTGCCAGATGAAGAACTACTCCCTACCCCCCCACCAAGCGCAGATTTCACAGCTGGATTTATGACTGGTCATCGAGGCTGTTCTGCAGTTGATCACTTGGCTAAATAAGTGGACATTATTTATAAACTTGAAAGTGGACTCGCTATATTGAGAATTTTTCTTCTTTGGGAGGTGGTTTCAGTTTCAGCTTGGCATCTTTCAGAACTAATCTTGCTCGGTTATTGAAACCAGTATGGTTTTATTTTTATTTTTTCCCCCCTCATTTGCTGGTGAACACTGTGCCACCGATGTTTTTTTGTTTGTTTGTTTGGGTTTTTGGTGAAGTCAATTTGGTGGGAACTTGAGTCAAATATTTTAAATAGTGAGCAGAATTTTAGTTTTAATATGGTCTGTGTTTTAGTTCCTTAATTTTGCTGCGATTTCAACGTAAAGGCCTTTAGTTTTGTGCTTTGAAGCTTGGCTCTTTGGAATGTGAGGTGGATTTGTGATTAACCTCTGCAGTTCTTATTAGGCAGTCTTGTGTGTTTTTTTTAAAATTGGCCGTTTTGGGTATTGGTGTAAATGGTGTATCTGCCCCTGAGAGTGCATTGCTTTTCAGATTCCATGGTGGTACAGTGAAATGCCGGGAAATTGGCACAGAGCTACAGATGCTCTGTTGGCAATAATATTATTCTATATCCTTCTGTCTACAGGTGCTGTTGTTTGTGCTTCAGCATGGCGGTCGTCATCCGTTTACAGGGCCTGAGAGTCACAGCGGGTTCTGAGGATATTCGCAGGTTCTTCACTGGCCTCAAAATTCCTGATGGAGGGGTGCATATAATTGGTGGGGAGCGAGACGAGGCTTTCATTATCTTTGCTTCAGATGAAGATGCAAGAAGAGCCATGATACGTTCAGGTGGTGTCATTAGAGGCTCACCTGTTACATTGCTGTTAAGTAGTAAAGCAGAGATGCAGAATATGCTCGACAGAACAACAAAAATTGTGGAGAGGGATCAGAAAAGGCGGCTTGAAGATGACATTGGACATCCTCGCAGATCTATGGAGCCAGAGATGGGCAGGAGATCAGCCAGCAGATCGGGTGACAGTCCTCCACCCCTGCTCCAGAGGGCCCCAAACACAGATGATGTGTTTTTGTTTCTAAAAGGTCTGCCTTTCTCTGTCACTGAAAAGGAAATTTGTGACTTTTTTGGTGGTTTAGTTGTTGATGAAGTTGTTTTAGTAAAAAATCGCCAAGGATTAAACAATGGAACAGGTTTTGTCAAATTTGCAACAAGAGAGGATGCAATGGAAGGGTTGAAGAGAGATCGGGAATACATTGGCGCAAGGTATATTGAGATCTCCACGACAACATTGAATGATTGGCATCGGGTTACTGGTAGAATGCCAACAGCTGTAATAGGTGGCAGTTTCCAAAGGGGGAGATCACCCATTCCCGATCAGAGGGATCCACAGCACCGTGTAAGGTCACGATCACCTGTGGCTCAGAGGCACATTGCTCCTTCAGAAGGGGAGTACTGTGTTTTGTTGGAAAATCTGTCATTTGCAGTGGAAAAAGAACATATAAAACGTCTTTTTCATAATGCGAAACTTGGGGATGACCAGATCCTGCACTTGATTGACTCTGACGGGAAACAAAAAAGATCTGCACTGGTGCTGTTCAAGAGTTTGCGTGACTATTGTGAAGCTTTAGCTCATGAAAAAAGACAGTTTTTCAATCGACTAGTGCATACCCGTCCAGTTTCGAGGGAGAACATGATTGCCCTTCTGAAACCTCAAGGTACCACTGTCCGGCCTTCTGGAAACTCTGAAAGGTTTCGGGAGGGGCCTGCATCTTACTCCAGTGATCCTTATGACTCAGAGAAGATATGTGTGTTTGTGCGAAACCTGCCATTCGATGTACGAAAAGTTGAGATCATCGACTTCTTCCTTGGGTTTAATATCACAGAGGACAATGTGTGTGTGCTGCAGGACCGAGAAGGTGCTGGGGTTGGACAAGCTTTGGTGGTCTTTGGATCTGAGACGGAGGCTATGAGGGCACTCATTCTCGATGGACGACGGTTTCTTGGGTCAAAAGTCATACTAAAATGCATTACACGTTCTGAGATGCAGGAGTTGGGTGTTGATCCACCAGTGGGGCAAGAGCCACTGCTGAGAGGGGAGCAGTACTCGGGCAAGAGCAGCGATGCATCTTATCTCACTGGTGACACTTCATATCCTGACTTCAGGGTTCCTCGTGACGGGGGTATACCAGTAACTAATGCACAGGATAGCATCCATGGAGGTATTGATTATGAGCATCGTGCAGCGCGGTCTCGTTCTCCAGAAGACCGGGGCAATGGAGTTCGTGGCAGTTTTCGCTCCCCTGTGGAGCCTTTTGACGCTCCCACCTGTGTTCAGTTACTCAACCTACCTTTCCAAATCAGAAGTGAAGAAATCTACGATTTTTGTTACGGGTATCGTATAATACCTGGATCTGTGTCACTGCAGTATGACCAGAGTGGAAAACCTAAAGGCTCTGCTACTTTGGTATTTGAGTCTCGTCGAGAGGCTTTAACGGCAGTTGAAGAACTAGGTGGGAGACCAATAGGGCAGAGAAAAATAAAGCTACTCCTTGTGTGAAAGTAAAATTGCTTTTCATTGCACTTAAAATTCCAGGTGTAATTGGAAATGTAAACGATGTTGATTTGAAAAACCACTGCCTCTTTTTTTTTTCTTTTTCTTTTTTTTTTTAAATGTAGGGTGGGGAAAAGGAGGGTGTTGGGGGCAGTTGATATGGGATGGCTTTATGATTCTAACTATAAAGTTAGCTTGCATGTATTTAATTTAGCCTTGTTTTATCTGCTAAAAGAAATACTGTATTTCAATTTTTCATTGAACTTGTTATAGTGTGTATTCCATTTCATCTTACGGTCTTTTTGTCATTTCAAAATAAAAATGGATGATTTTGAATTGTTAACATTAAATTAGGATCTGCTGATCAAGCTTGTCTATACAGCATACAGATAAATAATAAATAAAAAAATATTTCGAGTTCAGTGATATATTTTTTTTTTCTCCCCTCAAAGACCTGTTATGATATTCTGCATTTTATTGATTTTATTTTTTTGTAGACAGCCTTCAAAGAACAAAACCTTAAATACGACCACCGTTTAAATGGTCACTACTCATCTGTAGTGATGAGTATGGTGTACTGACAGGTTTGAAATAATAACTATAGAGGCCTGTCTAAAACTATTGCGTGGTGGGGTTTTTTGTGTGTGTGTGCTTTCTGCTCATTTTACATAATTTGTAAGCACTGGGAGAGCTGCACAGCTCAAACCTAGTGAAAAATTAGTTTAAAAAATGTGAACATTTAAAATGACAATTTCTAATTTTCTCTTGTGTATAACAATCTAAAATAGCTTTGTATACAAAATTTCTCAAGACATTTACTTAACTGATAAACGGTAGTTGATCAACCACTAAGCACTTATCCAATGTTGCAACGAGGTGTACCGGGTCCTGGTAGCCGCCTAAGCAATGGCGAGGTGTGGCTTCACATCAAATACGGCTGTTACAGAAGACCGTACAGTTATAAAAAGAAAAAACACTCCTTTTAATGCTGTAACGATAGTCAATACCTACTTGTACAGAAAAAACATTCAGATATTGATAAAATTGCTAATTAGATTAAATGTGGAAACAACACTACTCCCTTTTCACAACAGTAGAACGTGTATCGATGATGGTGACTGCATAAGTTTTATTTTGAAAATTAAAATTCGGAAGTCGTGTGTTATTTGTGTTTTTTCTTCCTCTTGACTAGCATGACACTGGTGAGGCGAACAGGCTGAAATCCACGCTGAGGGAATTTCGTTGAACTAGAGGTGAATAAATTTTAAACCTCAATATCTATAAATTCGCGCGATGAGCAGAGCGTTGCTAGTTACATTTAATAGATGTTTATAGGAGTTCAAACTTTTGCATCGTTTTCCAAGTTATATTTTTCTATTACTTGTCTTATTTTTCTTTCTCGTTTTGTTGTTTTAACGTCATTTAGCCTATCTGTACACACAATGCTGACCATTAAATACGCAGCGAACTGTGAACGTTCACATCAACTGCTAATGTTAACGTTAGCTGCTCGCCGTTGCCTTGATGCGCAGGCTTTACACAGATTCATTTTATTTTTTGGGGGGTGCCATGAGCGCGTTATAGTGGACAGCGGGATCGTTACACCTGTTTTCAAAAGTTGTTTTGTTAATGCAGTTAAATTGAGATTTAGATTTTTAGAAAAGGCTTTTAACAACTATTGTTGACAGCCTCATAAAGTTTGGCAAGTTAGCTTACATCCAGTTTAGTAAAGTTAAGCTAAAAGAAACATGTTAAGTAATAAGTAAATAAACAACTAACATTAAACCGATTTTTATTTAAGTATATTAAGCCGGAGAATTTATTATTTATGTAAGGTTCTTATTTAATTATTTTTCTATTCTGTTTCTCTGTATGCTAAACCTTAGGAGTTTGATATTTAACGGTCTAACCCTGACCAGACTATCTTAGCTAATAAAATGTGAATACTTTCTTTTTCTTTGAAATTTCCCTATTTGTGTTTATCGCTATCAGTAATCCTTCCTTTTCATCACAGATATCACACCGCATTTAATCGTTGTTTTCTTTAAACAAAGATGAAATGAAAAATTGTTTAAACAAAATTACTATTATTATTATTGTTGTTGTTGTTTGGCCAGCCTTGTCTGTGACTTCTTACAAAACACACTTTCACACCTGGATGAGTTAACGCCAGATGAGTTAATACTTTTTGCTGTACAATATAAAGTGCCTTGGGGTGACTGTTGCTGTGATTTGGCACTGTGTACTGTCATGTGAGAAAATTGGGACACCCCCATTAACTAATCAGCTCTTTATTATGAACTGTTCACATATCAATTTCCAATCATGATTTTATGTATTACTGGAAAAGAAAGCGACATAATTACAATTAAACAACATAAATGAACATTTTGTGAAACATCAAAAAAACCAAAAATGTTTGTTTTAATGGAGTAAAAAGTTAGGAAACCCTACCCCCTGACTAGTGTTAACTAGTGTTGCCTCCTTTGGCTCATATAACTTCAGCGAGACGCCTTTTGTAACTTTTTACCAGTCTCTGACATGATCAGAAGAAGGTTCGCTCCACTCCTCAGTGCAGAATTCCTTCAGCTGTGAGATGTTTGAGGGTTTTCTGGCATGTACAGCCCGTTTCAAGTCACCCCACAGCATCTTAATGGGGTTAGGATCAGGGCTTTGACTTTGCCATTCCAGGACTCTCCACTTCTTAGTTTTTAGCCAGTCCTTGGTAGATTTGCTGGTATGCTTTGGGTCATTGTCATGTTTTAGTGTCCAGTTCCGCTTCAGCTTTAATTTTTTAACAGATGGTCTCACATGTTCTTCAAGCACCCTCTGATACACAGCAGAATTCATGATGGATTCTATGATGGTGAGCTGGCCAGGTACTGCTGCAGCAAAGCATCCCCAAACTAGGATACTCCCACCTCCATGCTTCACAGTTGGTATGAGGTTCTTTTCTTGGAAGGCTGTATTTGGTTTACGCCAAACATGTCTAAGATAAGATAAGATAAGATAACCTTTATTAGTCCCACACGTGGGAAATTTGTTTTGTCACAGCAGGAAGTGGACAGTGCAAAAGTTATGAGGCAAAAATTAGGATACAATAAGAATAAATACAGTACACAACTGTACAGGATAGAATAAATAAAATACTATATACAGTGGAATAAAATAAAATAAATATACAATAAGATAAAAATAGAATACAAATACAAATGCTATATACAACTGAGTAAAAATACAACGATGACAGAAAGGATTATTGCACTTAGTATTATTGCATATGTATGGATGTGTGTGTTTGATCAGTTAAAGTCTTTATTATGGAGTCTGACAGCAGTGGGGAGGAAAGACCTGCGAAATCTCTCCGTCCCACACCGTGGGTGCCGCATTCTCCCACTGAAGGAGCTGCTCAGTGCTGTCACAGTCTGCTGCATGGGGTGGGAGATGTTGTCCAACAGGGATGACAGCTTAGCCACCATTCTCCTGTCACTCACCACCTCCACTGGGTCCAGAGGGCATCCAAGAACAGAGCTGGCCCTTCGGATCACCCTGTTCAGTCTCTTCCTGTCCCCAGCAGAGATGCTGCCGCCCCAGCAGACCACACCATAAAAGATAGCAGAAGCCACAACAGAGTCATAGAAGGTCTTCAGGAGTGGGCCTCCACTCCAAATGACCTGAGTCTCCGCAGCAGGTACAGCCTGCTCTGCCCTTTCCTGTAGAGGGCGTCTGAGTTATGAGTCCAGTCCAGTCTGTTGTTCAGATGAACACCAAGGTCTACTGTTCTGGTGTCCAAATAATTCAATTTTAGACTCATCTGTCCAAAGAACATTATTCCAGAAGTCATGGTCTTTGTCTTTGTTCACTGTTAGTAAGCAAAGGTTTCCTCCTTGCACACCTCCCATGAAAGCCAAACTTGTGTAGAGATAGTAGAGTCATGCATTTCACTTCGACAGTAGCCAGAGCCTGCTGTAGTTCCCGTGATGACATTTTAGGATTTTTGATGACTTCTTTGAGAATCTTGCGCTCTGCTCTGGGAGTTAATTTGCTGGGACGGCCAGACCTGGGCACCAAACTAAATTTGAGGTATGGATAAGGCAAGGTTCTTTTAAAATGCTGGTTAACGATGTACTGATCATGTGCACCTAATGTGATACACCTGTGTGATTTTAACCATTTTAAGTGGGATAATATGTGAGGGTGTCCTAATTTATTCCTCACCAGAAATTGCATTCTTTTAAAATTACATTTCACATAAAATTTTAAAACGGCTTTTCTTATTTTTTAAATTTTTTAGTGATATTGTTTGGATTCCTCAGTATCATTAAAATTGGCATTAAATATCCATATGGCCAAATATATTTTAAAATATACAGGCTTTCATAGGGTGTCCTAATTTTCTCACATGACTGTATATAAATTGAACTGAAACAGGGACTGTGATTGCAGTTTGGTTTTGTATCACAAATGTTTTTTTGTTTTTGTTTATTTTGCTAGTTTCACAAAATCTAAGCAATCATCTTGTTATGTAGATGCATGACATTTACAACTTTTCATACCAATAAACTCAAATTATTTAGTGAAGTATTTGAATATTGTAGCTGTAAAAAAAGATACTTAATTATGAAATAATAAAGTCATTACCAATGGGAATAAAATAATATCAATAATTTATAGGGTCATAAATCATTACACACTATAGTGAAAAGTTGTAAGTATTCCTGATATGCAGCCTTGGCCTTGGTTTGGACTCCAAACCCCTCTTTTTAAAACACTGAAAAGTAATATATTAGTGACTAATGTCTCCTTCTGTTAATGCAGCACTGCTTAGTAGGCTTGTAGAAATTAGTTGGCTTAAAGCATGTTTGAACCTTACTGACGCCAGAATGGAGGTATCAAGGAGAAGAATCCTTCAAAAGCACCTGGAGCCAGCGAGACCCCTGCGCCGCTGCATTCCTGCCGACATTGGTAAGTCATCAGTGCAAGTAAACAGGATCAAATGTGCCAGTTTGAAATGTAATGTGTTCCCGTGTAATGAATGTTCATATGGGGATTTTAATACTTTGTTTAGATCCACCAATAAATCCTGCTGCACATGTCCTGATGGATCAAGAGGCAAGTAAAAAATAAAACCCTAATTATGAAGATGGTTGCATGGTGATGCAGTGGTTAGTACTCGTGACTCATAGGAAGAAGGTTAGTTCTGTGTGGAGTTTAAATCTTCTCCATGTGTCTGCATGGCTTCTTCCCACAGTCCAAAGACATGCAAAGGTTAGGTTAATAGCTGTTCATCTGGACGTTACGTTTTCAATGGGAAAAATGTTTTGTCACTCATCCAATTGAATTCTTCAGTCTCGAGACTGAAGAATTCCCTTGGATGAGTGACGCAACGCTACGTCCAGATGAACAGAATCCACCTTTTGGGATTTACTTACCTTAATGATTGAGCATGCATCAAGACGTTAGGTTAATATGTGATTCTAAGTTGACTGTAGGTATGAATGTGAGTATGTCTGTCTCCCTCTCTATTACAGCTGTGCACTATGAAAGCTGGGATAAACTAAACATATTACACTTTTTTCACAGAAGGTAAAATATAGTTTTGGTAAATGAAGCCTACTAATAAAAAAGGAGTTTAAACGACATTGTTACAAAAAGGTGAAGCTGACAGTGTATATGTGATATGGAGATACATGTATAACAGTACTGAAAAAAAGTACTAAAAAGCATCCACCTGTTTGAAGGTAATTCATAATCAAACAACAAAAAAGGATGGGAAAGTGAACATGTTCTAAGCTTTGGCTTTCCATAGTTTGTCCATCAGGCTCTAGCTTGTCACTGCAAATCTGGGTTTTGTAGAGATGCTGTTTGCCATGGTGAGACGTTGTCAGGCTAAGATTCATCTAAGATGATTTTTTCCACTGTGTGAGCACCTTATGCCACCAGAGTAAACCTGTGACACACCTCAACATTTGAGAACGGTGGCACTACACAAAGATGACACATAACACTAACCTTTCAAATAACTAATCATTTAATTATTCGGCGCTTCAGTATTTTAGACTCATGATATCATGCTTTTTAAAAAAATATATTTAAGCTGAAATTTTGTATTTGATAGACAAATATTGGTGTAGAGCAGTTCTACAAGATCATCAACCTTCATAAACAGAAAAAAGGTGAGTCTTTTCTTCTTCTTCTTATATTATTTTTTTCCAAAATAATATATTTTGCTGTCCCATAGGCTAATAAACAAGGCGTGGAAAGCACTTCAGCTTGTCAGTGTGGTAAACAAGTGTTTTTGGTGTGCATTCTAGTAGCTGCAATTCCAGAAATGCCAAGGAGGCTTAGCAGGAGATTAAAAGCAAGTATACACATAGATAGTGCATTTCATATATTTTCTGAATCACAGATTAAGACACATACGTTTGCATGAGAGTGAGACACAGTTTTCACTTCGTTCAGTGTTTTTTGTAAGGTTACGGTTTAATAACTTGCACATATAAAATTTATTCTGCCAGAAGAAAATCTATCACAATGCTGAAAATGTTCTTCACAATTTTATACCAAACCTCTGAACCAAACATAACCTGCTCCTGGCCGTTCTAGTTTTTATTCTCCCACCTGCAGCTTTTCTGGTTTTTAAGGGTTCAAGCATAAAGATTAAATAAAAAACAAAATCATAGACTCAGTCTATGAACAAATTTGATGGGAAGTCAACAATATATGGTCCTGTTTTATGATCATATATTAATGCTTATAGAACAATGAAACTATTTTAAAGTTTTTTGTTGCCAGCAGAAAAAAAATATATCAAGGAATCAGATTTTGTCATCAGGGAAACTCAAAGACTTCAGACCCTCGTACTCTCCCCTCAGGTGTCTGAAGAATCTTCCTGGAATTAGTGTTTTGTGAAGAACTGTTTGGTCATTAGGCAGTAATTTCATACCGATTGGTCTCTAATCTGGAACATAACATGCTCCAGAGCAGGTTATAAGTTATCATGGCAATGTACCCCAGGAAGAAGTAAACCACCTTTGTAGTACGGGAAATCCAAGGTTAACTCTGAAGTTACCTGGATAATCTGATATCCTGCTTCACAGTCAGGCCTCTGGTCACTCTGACTGAAAATCTGAGTGTCTCAACTCTACTGCTTCCAGCTCGACCTTGTCTCTTTTTGTCAGAGCCACTGTCTCCAAACCATTCATCACAGCAGGTGTCGCTAACGTCTTGCAAATCTTCCCTTTCACTCTTGCAGCGATACTTCTGTCACAAATCACTCAAACCCTGGTCTCCTCCACTCCCCCTTGCCTGCATGCTCTTCTTCACCTCGCTTGTGCTCTGTTCATCCCTTTGAAGGGTTAACCCCATGTATTTAAACTCATTTACCCTCATTACCTCTATACTTTACAGCTTCACTGTTACACCTGTCATCAAACCCTGAATTCATAAACAGTGACAAGGAGGAATTTTGGACCAAAGACATCACAAATGTTTCCTCAAAAAGCTGATATTGTGAGGAATGACCACAAGAGGGCCTTAACATCCAGTAATCAGAGAATTATCACACACCTGAATAAGCTTCTTAGAAGGAGTTTGTCTTTTTAGTGAGGTTGTGTTTGATGTTAGCCAATGCAGAAGTGTTGGTGAATCCCAATGCATCACAAACATTTTTTGTCAGCTTTATTACCTTTGAGGTAAAGAAGCAACCAGATTCTTTTGGATATCCCTAACTTGAACTCTTATACCATGTTTATCTTCAGACAGGATATCTTACACAAGGGACTTCTTAATTGGTCTGGCCAGTTGTCCGGAGGCCAGGAAGAAGCCAGAATTCTTGCCAGAGCACCCAATAGTGTTAAGTGAGGCAGTAAGTGTAAAATTCTTGTTGTTTACTTGCTAAGTGGTCCAAATAATATCAGTAGTGTCTGGATTTAAAATGCTTTTATACTATCTTCACAGAGAGATCCTGAGCAACTAAGGCTTTATGAAATGAGGATGAATGGCAAGAAAGATAAAATGTGAGTTTAATACTGTAAATTTGTTACCACAGTTGGACTTTAATGCTTTTTTCATACAGTAGAAAAACAGTAGAGAGTATAGATTATGATTTGAATGAAATACCCATTGTTCTTCAAGAATAATTTGAACATTGGACATTTATAACACCAGTTAATGTGTATATGTAGGAATTAAGTTAAAGTTAAAACCTAGAAAAAAAGGTAGTTTTTACGGTATATTGTTAAAATTAGGTCGCTAACATAAACACCATAATAAAAATATGTCACCTTTGTTTGTTTTTAGGGCGGCTGAAGGGCTTCACTCACCTTGAGAAATTAGTCTTGCTTGTGCAGTGTTTGTGTTTGCTGTTCTTCCTTTCAGTTTAATTTAACTTTTTATTTCCTATTTATTATTTTGCAGGAGGTTCACAAGAATTTCGGTTTTTGATAACCCCCTGAGAGTGCTGTAGTGTATTTATACTGTGTGAACACCTTTTTGAAACAGAAAAAAAAAACTGAATGGCTACTTTTCAGATGCTTTAATAAAAGTCCTGAACTGAAGTGATGGCGCCAATTATGTTTACACATAATTAGAAATTCTCTGGAGTTAAGATTTGCATTTGTCTACAAATTGCTTTTGATTTTCTGTCCTATACCTCTGCTATTATCAACCTGCTTCAGCAGCAGTTTCCATCACAAGTGACACACCTGTGTATTGTACAGCTGGTGAGCATGTCCGTGCATTAAACAGCTTAAGAAATTGGCATAAACGGGAGTGACTCTTGCATCAGTCAAGCAGATATTAACAGGAACACCAATGGTATTTTATTTTATCTGTTTGTTATGTGTGCTACATTCATAAAGTGGTTATTTGACAACAAATTTGCTATTAAAAAAAAAAAAGATTAACGGTCAACATGAAACCATGCATTCTTAAATCTACAGGAAGTGAAAATCACACATGAAAGATTTTGTTGAGCACATTTTTATAAAATGTAAGTATTTTTTACACTATTCGAGGATAAAACCACCATGATTCCTGTACTTAATGAATTAATTTTAATGAATCATTTTCTTGTACAACCTTCGTCATTTTGACCAAACTGACTCACACAAAATAAACTCGGAAAAGTACTGCTTTTCCCAACATCTGCGGAAATCCTTTAATAGCGCCGCTGTAACTGAACATCTGCTGCACTTCGTCGACCTCTGTACGTGACCGGAAGCCGGTAGCCAACAAGTGAGTGGGTGACGAGACTCATTTAGTACCCCTGTGACTCATCCGACGTCACGGCATTGTGGGCCGGCTCTCGGCGTTAAGTAAGATTTTAATACTGAAATGAAACGGAGGAAGACAGCAGCAGAAAAGTAACCTCTCAAAGAGCAAAACATCTATATCTGCTTTTTATTTTTTGTTTGGTTTCGTGAGTCCCGTTGGCTGATCTTTCAGGTAAGGATGAAGCTCATTACCGTATTTCCTGTAGCCGGTGCGCGATAGTGCTGAATCTGCATGTTGACAGTATGTTCCTATGGTGACTGTTTTAAATGTAAAAACAAAACAAAACCAAAAACCTTAATTGTCCAGATTCGAGAACTGAGTTAGATGTTGGTGAAATTCTAAGTAACAGGCTCTCTCAGCAGCCAGGTGTGGTTATGCGTTTCTTTCATTCTGCTCACTGAGTAATTTTGTTCGGATTCGGCTGTTCGCAGGAAAAATGGACTCAAAGGCCGAAGGAAGCGCTCCGTGCAGCAGGTGAGAAGTTCCGGTCAACATAATGTTCAACATATTTGTTTAAAAACGCAGGTACTACTCGACAAAACCGCTTCACACACGTCAACTGCAATGTCGTCTTGGAATGAGGAAGCTGGGGTGTGACAGGATATATGGCCATTGATTTTCTTTTCTTTCTTTCCCCCCCTGAAAGTCGTGACGGTTTTGTTATTGTTAAATAACACCGTCTTTACAGAACCAATAAGATATTTGTAATACTGCCCCGTTAGCTACCCACCATATTTACGTAACAATCATTGCTCTTCATTGATCTGTGTGATTCAGTGTTTTAACTGACCCTTTCATGTCTATCCTTCTCCCCTCTTAAAGCCCTGTTTATGTGCACAACCCACACCTGGATGCACTGAAAGAAGACATCCTCTACCACTTCAGTCTAGGAACTGAAACTCATAGCCTACAAGATATGTTTGGTGATGTCAAAGTAATGTATCCCATAGTCATCTTTTTTAATTTTTATTTTAAAGCCTTGAGCCTGTTTTTGTCTGTGCAGTTCTCATGTCTATCTTTATGTGTGTGCTTTACTGTAGTTTGTTTGTGTGGGTGGGAGTCCCTGGAGAATGAAAGCATTCACTGAGTACATCGCAGCTGAGCTCGGTATGGAAGACCCCAAATCTGAGTATCCAAATATCTGTGCTGGGACGGATCGTTACGCCATGTACAAAGTTGGCCCTGTCCTCTCTGTCAGTGTATGTAAGAACAATATCCTCAATGCTATTTTGTTTTCCACATGATCGTTTTCTTAACTTGTATTTGTTAATCTACCAAAATGCATAATAATATCATGAACGTCATTTAAAAATTGTGTATATCTCTGCTTGTTTTTGCAGCACGGAATGGGCATCCCATCTATTGCCATAATGTTGCATGAGCTAATAAAGCTCCTCTATCATGCAAAGTGCACAGATGTTACAATTATACGCATTGGGACATCAGGTGGAGTAGGTACGTGCATTTGGGCCCTTTTCTTGTTGAGGAAAGGTGAAGTGACCCTTTGGAATTGGGTGCTGTTTGGGATTAATTTGTAGATTAAGCCTAAAGACCAGCTTGTGATAGGATCTTAGTTACCATGGGACTAATTACATGTCATACCAGACCCATTTTCCAAATCATTGTAGTAAAATAAACAACCAAAAGAAGGTTTTTTGTTTAATTTGATAAATATTTGTCAGTTTGGGGACTGATTTATTTCTTGTGCGCAGCTGTGCAAGATGCAATTACAAAATGTTACCGGTGAATAGCTGAAAGCGAAAGTATGATCCTGTCAACAAAATGGTCTCTAGGTTAATGATTTTTTTTTAGTTTAGACAAAACGAGGCAAAGGTTTCTGTGTTATTAGTTACATTTTAACAAAGCTCAAAGGATCGGGTATTACAACTAGCGGGAAAGCAGAGATGGTGTAAGCAAAAATGAGAGACAGCATAAGAGTGATGAATGCTGAGCACTAGACTGGAAAACTGTGACATTTCAGGTTAAAGTTACACTTAAATGACGATCAGTATTGAGGGGTTATATATTTTTTGTCATTGTAAATATATAATAATACATGTGCAGCATTAGCAAGCTAGAAATTCGTTTGTTATTTAGAATATGCTAATTTCCCTTGTAATTGTGTCGCACGTACTTTCCAGTAGATGGATCGTGTGATGACGCAAGAGATGACAACAGAGTCTTTGTTTTTAAAAAGGGCATATTTTTCTATTTTTATCCCAAGAAACAGACTAAGGTTCCTTAATCAAATTGCTTCATGAAAACATTTTCACAATTAATTGCAAATACTTGGTTTTAACTCATTTTATCAGATTTTTGAAAGAGAGATCAGCTGATCTTTGAAGCCTGCCTTTGAAATTTACACAACCTTGGCCTTACACAAGCAATGGCATGAACATTTAGCTGTTGGCCTGTGTTGCATCTTTGATTTTGAAGTCTATACATGTAACATTTCCAGCACATGATGCACACGATGGTGATTTCAATTCTAGAAGCTGTGACTAAATTTTACAACCACAGATCTTCATAGTAAAGATATATGCTCTAGAAAGTGCTATAAAGTAATTTGTCCTAAAATCTTTACATTTGTATTTTCACTTTAAAAACCTTTTTCATCTAACCTGCTATATTTGGCTTTCAGGACTTGAGCCTGGCACTGTTGTTGTCACCAAACAGTCTGTGGATCCCACCTTTCAGCCCAGGTTTGAGCAGGTGATCCTTGGGAAGACCGTGGTGCGCAATACTGATCTGGACCAAAGCCTGGCTGAGGACCTGCTGCAGTGCAGCAAGGAGCTAAACCAGTTTAAGACAGTTGTAGGCAACACCATGTGCACGCTGGATTTCTATGAAGGTTTGAGTTCTGATCCATCAATGTGTTAGCGAGTACACTGTTTGCCAACATCTACAGTCTTTCACTGTCTTCCTGTTTTCTCTGTTTGATCACGCGTGTAGGGCAAGCCCGTTTGGATGGCGCTTTCTGCTCCTACACTGAGGAGGACAAGCAAGACTACCTCAACAAAGCTCAGGAAGCAGGAGTTTGTAATATAGAGATGGAGTCATCAGTGTTTGCTGCTATGTGTAAACTGAGTGGTCTACGAGGTAAGAAATTTCAATATCAGCATCGTTTTACTTCTGACAGCATTTGTTTTGTGTCTGAAAACTTTTATCTCTGTTTGTGAAAAGCGGCTGTGGTTTGCGTCACGCTCCTGGATCGGCTGAAGGGAGATCAGCTGCGCAGCTCTCACGAAGTTCTTCACAGTTACCAGCAGCGTCCTCAGATACTGGTCGGCTACTACATTAAGAAGCAGCTGAATGCCAAAGCGAAAGATAGCTAAATAAATGCAAGCATACAGTAAATTTTTATGATCTTCTGTCTAGAAGCCATACCTTTAAATATCTCCAAAAGACTTAAATGATGCCTTCTATTTATCCTTTAACACTGATTTAGTTGATACACTGCTATAAAAACATGCACCGCTACACTGTTGTTTTATTTCGTATTTCTCTTAAGTACACTTGAATTGATGTAGCACCCTTGTATTTAAAGTGAGTTAAGTTCATTAAATATGTGTCTTTGTTCTACTTGACATGTAAAGTTTCAGATCCGAAAACTTGAACCTGTAAGTCTAAACTTACAGTGGTGCCATAACAAAATGACCTTTTTACACCTATTATAAAAAATACATTTTTAAAATATTTTATAGGTTTAGATTTGTTATTGAAAACTTAATTGTGTATGTGGAGATTTTTTTTTACATTTTTATTGTCATCCAGATTGTATTCAGTTTCTTCGACCTTTGTATATGTGCTCAGCATTTCTTTCACAATATAAAAGCTGCAACAACACAACACTCCGCTTGAGAAAGATTTCTGCTTTGTGTCATAAATAAAGCAAGCAAGTAAAGCTTTGTGCAGTCTGAAATTTCACAACATATTAAGAAAAGAATTCTTTAAGTAAGAGGCACTGCGGCACAAATGAAATGTGAAGTTTGTTATATGATCTGTCAGTATTTGCAGCTCTTGAAAAGCCTGGTGAAGTCAAGATCAGCATCCTGACCAATAAACAAGCCAAAGATATTAATAAATGGTGTTCTGGTGTGTACTGATTGAACAGTAAATTATAAATGATAATAATAATAATCTCCCTAAAAGATTTTGGGTAGACTGGTGTTGTTGTCACATTAACTGTTAACGCCACATTAAAGGACACTTTTGCGGTGGTTAATTTGTGGAAAAGACAGAAAAGTTTGAGGGGAGGAAGTATTTTGTCATTTTTAGGGGTCAGAGTAATTTTTCATGTTGCTGCTTTTTCTGTAATAAAAAGCTCACACAGTATTAGTCGGTTAAAAATTGGACACTTGTTAAAAAGCTCAAGGTTTTTCATCAGCAAGCTTAAGCCATGTGGTAGCTAGGTTAAAATGTGACACATGTAACAACTGAGCCCCCGCCCGAGTATAAGAAATGAGAAAGGTATTTGAAGCTAGGCATGTAAAGGCAGTGTTGTATAAATATATCTGTTTGTTTCTTTGTTGGCAGAATGGTTTGTGTTGAGCCACACACAAACAGCTGGCCGAAGGAAGTATGGCTTTGTTGTGTTGTCTGCTAAAGTTATCATAAAGTTACATTAATTTGTTACAATTAATGACAAAAATGGAAAGAATACCTACTTTGAGGTTGTACCTTAGGCTTGGATATAATGAAGGAACAGTTGTTGAAAGATGTTTCAATCAATCAGCAATTCATGTAAATTCAAGTAAAAACCATGAATACTAACCTTGGTCTAACCTAGTTTGTCTGTTAAAATCAGCTATATGGGGAAAACACCTGGTTTTAAAAATTTCAGCTGGTGTCACTGGGTTCATTTTCTAGAAAGATCTGCTGAGACTGAAGTTACTTTGGACTGCTTTGGTCAGAGGAATAACTTTAGCACACTCATTCCCTCTTTTGTCTAATGCTGGTGATAGATGACGCATTAAAGGTTGAGATAAAATTGAACACTCTGACTAATGGCGAGTGTCATTGCTGATATTTTTGACCAGCAGGCGTGGCAGCCTGCAGCAGCTCGGTGAAGAAGTCTTCATTCTTACTTATGTTACAGTATTATCTGTTTGAATTAGTTTAACAGATCCTTTTCACCGCCACAGCTTTGACACGAATCAGTATGTGAATGCAGGTGTTATAATCACGTAGACTTTGGTTTTGTTTTTTTCAATCTAAACTTTAGTCATTTATAATTCCTGTAACTTCTTCATACTGGACTATATCATGACACAGTTGCAGGTTGAGGAAATATCGGTTGTTGTCAGTGTGGTGAATCATCTGCACACCAGGATATTCACTTCTTTACACAAAAAAAGTGACAATGTTGGTGTATTTTATTTCTGGCCTATATTTTTCGCACTGTTAATTTGGATCGTTCTCAAACACATTATTATTACATTATTATTCAGGCTTGAGGACAGATAACGGCTTTATTCTGTGGTGTCTCAGTATTTTGAGCTTCTAGCCTACACTGGGTGGTGTAAGACGCGCGGCGCGTGAGAGGAGGGTCTGTTTGCGCGCTCCCGTGCGTGCCCACCTCCCGTCTGCTATCCGATCCTTCCTCCGTCTCTTCGCTGACTCAGTGCCTTAAGCAGCATCACCGCTCACCAGAACAGATCTACAGCATCCTCTGCGGAGAAATACATCAGCCATGGCTAAAACAGCAACCGGTAAGCATTAGTCTGGATGGGTTCAGATGGATTAAAGCGGGATGGATGCACGGTACAGGTGCAGGATTTTTGCGGAAGGTCTGTGTCGGCCCGGTGTAGCCTACCGGCTGGTGGTCGTGCTTCTGTAACAGCTCCACCATAAAAATAAATATATAAATAGATAAAATAAAATAAAAGCTTTCTTTGCCGTTTTCAACACTAAATTGCATTAAATCACATTTCTGCAGACTATTGTCTCCACGCAGGACTCTATTGATGATAAGAATGTGGGCTCACGCCGAGCATCCTCTGTCGTTAGGTTACTGAAAAATCTCCTATATTATCCTACCTATGTAAACATATTCATTTTTATATAACAATTGTGTTAGGTAACATTGTGTAATTATACAATATGGGCTGCCTGAGAGGGGTTTACAATGCTCCACCTGCGGTTCACGCTACAGCGGCCCCAACATGCAGCATAATGCAGACGGACCCCACCCAAGATGCTGGGTTGCCGATCATTTAGCCGACACCAAATCATTTGGAGGCTTCATCTGTTTGACGTTTACATTCATGTGGCTATAATGAAAGGTGCAGGTGATCGTTTCACTTTTTTTTGTCACTTAAACGTCTCTTTAAGATGATTGTTGTCGGTTATAAGATTGCACCCTTTATTCATGTCTTTAGCTTTCCTTATCTATTCCTTGCAAAGGATTGCACCAGCTGTGGCAGAGGTGCTGCAGTTTATTTTCCAAAAATTCATTATTGATATATGTTACAAAAATAAAATGTAGGTAGAGTTAGCACACTGATATTAAGAACTAGATTTTACGCTAGTCATCTCTTCTGATGGGTAGTTATTGTTGTAGGCCAGACATTTAGCATGGGTTTGTTTGTTTTTGGCTACCTATTTTACAAAATTCTTAATATAAGCCACCCATTCCTTCAGGGTTTTTTTTACATAAAATATAATGTGCCAACTCAATATTCTGCATGTAGTAGCATAGATTTGTAGTTAACCAGACAGGTGTACGGCAGGGTGGGAGGCAGGCCAGCCCTGCAGCAAGGGACTGCTTCACACGCTGGCCTTTGCAGCAGAAGGCATAGCAGCACTGACAATCTGTAGTCCTGAAGAGCCAGGTGGGCACTTTGTCAAAAATAGAAAGAGCACGAAGAACTGGCGGTGAACATTAAAAATAGTCCAAAGATCTGGTGAAAGTTAATTAAAAAAAGAACGTTCAGGTCATTAATCTGGTGTTTTTTATGACTATGACACCACGGTGACCGAAGCGCATTATTGGACAAAGCTGTTTCATGTCCTGATTTTAGCTCACATGTGAACTTCAGTAAAAGTAATGCTTGTTATGCTCTTAGTTTGATAATGCTCACAGAATACATTCATCCAATTAATTATTAAGCAGTGCTGCACTTAGATACATTTCAGACTTTTAACAGCTCATTAGGCAGTCATCTGAGCTAACAGGCTTGTTGAGAATTTCCCCTTTCTTAACAAGTAATCAAATTGAAAATCTCAAATATATGTATCCATTTGTGACAATGTTGGTTGTGACAAATGGATAATGCTGTGTTTGTTTTATGGTTTTATGTTCTTGCAGCATACAAAGAGAAGATGAAGGAGCTGTCTGTCCTCTCCCTCATCTGCTCCTGCTTCTACCCAGAGCCACGCAACAAGCTTGTGTGTGACTTTGAAGGTACAAAATCAGCTGAATCATGGATTTTCTTTTAAATTAAACAAGCTAACTCCATGTTGATAATTTCTTTCAGATTTTAGACAAAAAATACGTATCATTGGACTGATACAGTAATATGTCTTGACTTTGCTACCATTAGCATTGTAATTGTGTCATTTACAGACATGGAGGTGAAACCTATAAACAAGCGGGCCTCGGGTCAGGCTTTTGAGGTGATTCTCAAGCCTCAGTCTCCAGTGTCAGATGTAGCCCACAACCTTCCCTCACCCCCAAAGAGGGATATCTCCTTGGACGACATTGAGAAGAAACTCGAGGCAGCTGAAGAACGGAGGAAGGTGAGTATATTGCATCGATGTCAACAAGCTTTAGGTGTTTAAACTGTAAAACAAAAGAAATCTTTGAGACATTTAACTATGGAAAATGAATAATTCATGTTACAAGATGGAGGTGCAAATGATTCAATTTGAATACTTCTGTATATTCAGTACCAAGAGGCCCAGGTGCTGAGGGCTTTGGCAGAAAAGCGAGAACATGAGAGGGACGTGTTGCTAAAGGCTATGGAAGAGAACAGTAATTTCAGCAAGATGGCTGAGGAGAAGCTCCAGATGAAGATGGAGCAGATCAAGGAGAACCGTGAAGCCCACCTGGCGGCCATGATGGAGCGCCTACAAGAGAAGGTGAGTTGTCAGCTTTATCAGAACTAAAAGCATATGAAAGGGGCTGGGCAGCGTCCTGATGAGTAATCATTCTCACTGTGCTGTTGTGACGTTTCCAGGAGAAACACGCGGCTGTGGTGCGCAGAAACAAAGAGCTGAGGGAAGAGCTGACAGCATGAGCCTCACACGAGTCCAGACTTCCATCCACCCAGTCCTGTCCCCTTCCTCGGTAGAGCCTTCACCCTCTTCGTAACAGACACTCAACCCTGGAGGCTGAGAGGTTCAAGGACCTCACCACTATATCACAACCCACCATGCCACCAGTACTCACTATTATCAGTATTATCAGTGGATATAAACATGAATAACACTCATCTTGAGAATTGAATGGTTTTGTTGATTTAAGAGAAATTGAAAGAATGTGGGTTTTATTGGCTTTAATTTTGTCAGTACTTTTATCTATCTATCTATCTATCTATCTATCTATCTATCTATCTATCTATCTATCTATCTATCTATCTATCTATCTATCTATCTATCTATCTATCTA